GGCGGCCAGAAGGGTCGGTGCCAAGCGATAGCGAAATGTACATGCTCGTAGACGACACACGTTTAAACACACGCAGAGAGGGTTCCACAGTCCCAGGTCCTCGGTTGGCGATGGGGTAGGATGCAGAAGCGAAAGGAGCTACAGGTAGAAGAACGTACCTCTAATATCTCGTTGATGCGCTCGTTGGTGCTCTGCCTCCGAGAGAGCGAGCGCGCGGACGCTGGCGAGCGTCCGTCGTAGGAGGAGGAGCGCCTACTTAACCCTCTCGGCGAGGCGGTCGCAGAGGACTGGGATTGTGGTGGATGAGCATCGGACGACGGTGGTGGTGGTGGAGGAGGTGCAGGAGGAAAAGCAGTAGCCGGTGCCGCTGCCGGCATCGATGCGGCTTCTTCCTTGGCGGAGGCCATCACGTCCGAGACATGGGCAGTTGACGTCGAGTGCCTTCAGACCGAAGAGATAGAGAGGCACACTGGTAAAAACGCGGTTTGAAGATGGCGTCCCTCACGCCAGAACAAGGGTCTGGTGACGTGATCAAGAGGCGGAGAGACGTTTTGAAAGGCGAAAATGGCGAAAAATGGCACTAAAATGTTTCTTGCCCAGAACTCGGCTCTTGGGGAAAGCTCTCCTCCCCGTTGAGCTTAGGTATGGAGAAGGTTGGGTGGGCGATCGCGCAGGGCGGCTGATGGAGGTGCGTTAGTGCCGTTTTCCTCATGCAATGCCGCCGTTCGCTAGCGCAATTTCTCGGCCGGCGGCGGAGGATGCGGTAATGGGGACCGACCTGGGAAGCCTTGCCAGTGGAGGACTGAAAGGATGGTAGTTGAGAGGAGTAGGTGTGCAGTAAGGTGATAGAGAAAAGAAGTAGCGTAAGAATAAAGTTTCAGCAAGATGAGGCTGGCAAGTGCAGTTCCTTTGCTGTAAAGAAATGAGACGAGACGAGTCGAGTTTCTGTCTCCTTCACGTGTATAGGTGAAAAAGGGACCCCATGACATAGCTTGGGCCCCTCTGGAGCTTTATCTGATTTGATCCATTGGGGAATTTGGGATGGAGGGTTTTACCGTTCACTGGTTGGTCGCCGACCATCCCAAGATCTAGGCCGTCTCTAGAATTCTGGGGGGAGCCGCTTGACCCCGCCGATGCCGATGGCACGGGGCCTGGTCCTACCCGTCGCCAATCGGACCGGCTGTCGGGGCGGCTGGACGGATACGGGTCACCTTCGGCCCACGGTCGACGTCTGACAACCTCACTTCTATCCTTTGCAGTAGTAAACACACTTTAGTTATACGTCTATCTTGATGTGTTAAGGAACCCTGATGATTGCCAGGCCTTGGGGTGTCTAAGGCGCCGTCCAGCCTTTCAGTACATTCGCTCGCGGCCTAGGACTAGCACGATGTCACCCAGCCTACCACAGCGGAGATGGAATGCTACTGTACGACTTTGGACTTCCGCAGTCTTTCTCGGCTAATTTAACTGGTGATTATTTGAGGTGATATTTGAACGACTGTCTTGCCGTAGAAAGGGTTACTCTCGTGGAAAATACAGACATTTGCCGGAAGTAGACAATCTCACAAGATGATTCTCGAGTACCCTTGGTGATCACTAGTGTGCAGAATCCACGTCGGGCGGAAATAATAGACTGACGACCAAAATGATCGCTTCGATTCACCAACAACTCTTTCTCGAGGATTAATAAACATGTGAAAGGCTGCTTTTTCGTTGCCTCTCGCCGATTGAATCTCCAGACGTCAGGACTGGCGATGATCGGAGCAGCCCCAAGTCTCGTCGTTGCCATTCCCCCACAACTACGAGGATCGCTACAAGACGATCTTACAGACTGGTTTAGAATGTTTTCAGAAGCCCACAAAGTGACTCCAAGATGGAAGGAGCATCTCTCATTCATTGCCTCCGCCGCCGTAGTATTCAGTCAATAATAACCATGAGAGGGAGGGAGATCTGGAGATATATGCCCTTGTTTAGTCTGTGAATGTGTATGTTGGGGACTGGGTATTCGCTCGCTGGAAAAAAAACCATGGCCTCTCGGACAGAATCACCAGGAGTCATACTCTGCAGAGTCCACGAAGTGTCCCAACAAATTCTGCGTCCTGACGTCTACCTGCTCTCGGTCTTACTCGCCCGGCCGCCTACAAACTTAACATCAACACTATCTGGAACGTCCCAGGCCACTATAAAATGACAATGCCGATTCTGTAGGCTTAAAGGGTTCCAGGGCAATGTCACTGTTGGAGCGATGCCCTCTATGGCGTGTCTTAAGACCGAGCGATCGTCTATTATCTGTAGATGCGCGTATAGCGACGAAGAACAGGATTGTATAATTCACTTTAACCAGACGCCCTTGTTCTCCTTCCCCCACGTTGCGAAAATATTCCTTTTGGTATGTCTCTGTACCGACTTTGGAAAGTAACCGACGGTATCTCGAGGCGAAGAAAGTACACTTAGCATTAGAGCCTATCTGGCTCATTGCGATGATCGCAGACGGTCTTGATCCCTTGGCTCTGGACTTCAATCCGTGGAACTTGGGCATAATGAGAGCCCGCCGCCCTAGGTAGTGCGGGCTGTGGTTCCGCAGAAGAGACCCCCATGATGAAGAGTTTGAGACGTTTATATACGCAGCAAATGAAAGTCTGAGAAACTCGATCCTTCTAGACTGGAGACCACAGAGTCATCAAGCTGGATCCCTGTCACAAGGAAGGGTCCCCCCATGTGTCTGTTTTGCTTTTCTTTGGATTGCCCGAGTCTATCGAGATCAGGAATTTCGTCCCTTGTACGCTCAAGACCTTTTATTTCGTAGTAGCTCTTCTTATTCTAAGACGGTTACTCTAGACACAGCGCAATTTCATGCCATCTCACATATGCTGTGGCCTTGACAATCTGTTGATGTCCACGTCTTGGATGGCACATCGTAAATTACAAAGGTCTCCTTCTTCTCTGTCTCGTTTCTTTATACAGCTGACCGCAGGCAGGAAGTACATTCGTCACGCGGTATTGAGACAGTGTTGCATACCGGTGGATACACATGACTGATGACTTCATCAAGCATTTTATCTGTAAGATGATTGATCTCAGATGAAGAGACTTCGTAATGCGACTACGGTGATGCTCATTCATTTCCAGAGACAGTCACGGGGTAAGCCGCGGTAAGTAAGAAGCCATCTACAATAGCATACAAGATAGCTCAAACGCATAGCACAAACAGGTCTTATGTGACTGGATTGCTAGACGGAGTTGCTTGTAGCCAGAGTCGAGATCAGTATTGCAAACGATCAGAGGTCGAGATCGCCTCTATCAACGACGATATCTCCATGATTTTTCCAGCCATACACCATACGAGTAATGATTACGTGACGTAACATTCGGTATCAAAACAGACGCTACGACTTGAAAACGCGGCCAGTTGCCTGTACGAAGGTGCTATAAGCTCGAATACGTGTAAAGGCTCATTAGAACTCCAAGAGCCAACGTTACGGAGGGTGGTGTCCAGGACGAATAACATGTACCCCTGGAGATCTCTCGAAGCATCGCTTCGTTCTCACCAGAGTAAAGACGTTTCTTAGATGAAATGCTTGTTGATTATGGAGGACTATCTGATTATTTTTGCTGTGAATGTTTCTACTGTAATGGCAGACTCTTTTGACATTATATCGATACATATCCGACTACTTACGCAGGACTCAGACCCCTACAGCCTCAAATCCCAATTGAGACGGGGATCACCCAGACATAGCTGCCTCAAGTACCTGACACTCTTCTTGATGGACCCAATTGTGTCGAAAAGGAACACAAAGACCCGCAGCAAGATCACTTTATCTGGCAAGACACTACGGGAGATGGCATCTAGGGGTCATTTACGGTTGGATAAGGTCACAGGAGGACGAGGGATCTCTTGGCGGCCTAGGGAAGCTTGTAAAACTCAAGTCCTTTCAATGGCAAGGTATGGCTACGCTCAATCTCATAGGGAAGCACATGAATACTGAAAAGGACATGATGGCTCGGACCAACATGTCATCATTTCCTCACACAACTCGTCCCGGTACAACAACCATACGAAGTGTAAACATTCTAAGTTGCTGTCTCCCTGTAGAGCCCTCTACACTGGAAATGATTCTTACTTCACCCATTAAACTCATCATATCGTCAATAGAGTGTATCAAGTCACCTTTCACAACAGAGGAATAACGAGGCGAGCATGAAAACGACACCCAGCAGCGAACCACGATTCAGTAAAACATTTCTCAAGTAGGTAAAGAGAGGTATAGGCTAAAAACTCCCACCCGCACATCTAGAGGAAGGGGAAAAGCCGGCAATATCCCACCAACACAAGGTAGTCAACCGGTGTTCTTCCCTCAGTGCCTAAGCCCAGAGGTTAATATCAATAGTAAAAAAAAATGAAGCCTCTGGCGTACGTAGGCACATCGACCGTACATGATCAGAGGAGAGCCACCCTTTTCTGCTTCTCCCAATCCTCTTACTGGAAGGGATGGTTATGGCACGCTTACATTCAGACACATCGCAAGACACAAGGAATCCTACGCATAGAACCCTTTACATCTGTCTGGCATGTCGCTAACACCTCAAAGCCCATAGAGCAAGAGCACGGTGACGGTTCGCAGAGACAATAGCCATCAGAGCCATCACTACCACTAGGATCTACATGTTCCCGATCAAGTAATACACTTATGGATGACCTACAATCAACGAAAGCCCCCTTTCCCCAAAGAGCAACGCCCCGATTGTCTCCGAGGCCACACGGCCACACAGCCACCAGGAAGGAGCAAACCCAACATCTCGAGATACCAACAGCCCCTGACCTCTGCATGTAGACCATTCCCTCAGCCCACCTGAACTCACATTGAATATACGAGCCGAGTGAGAGCCCAAAACATCCGATTAACCTCAGAAACGAGATACGGCTTCATCGAGTCTGTGCCCAACACCGTGGCGATACACACGCCAGCCTAACGCCACAGCTATCTCCAACAAGACCGATGACCCGACGACGACGACGACGACATCGCCCACAATCGCGAAAATCTCGCCGCGTCCTCGTCGCGCAGAACGCGTCCGATCAAGAAAACACGGTAACGTAACCAGCCTTCCACCGGTCCTGCTACGCCATCTCGGGATAGTCCTCTCACGCCGGTCCCCTCGACGATCACCAAACGACACACACATACATCTTAGCCCAACTCGTCCAGGAACGGGCTTACATACACCCACCCACATAATCACGACACCCTCAAAGAAAAAGACAAGAGATAACCCCACAAGCCGCCTGAAACCACGCGGCGCCCTTTTTTGGGAGACGAGTACCTACCTAGTGAGCCGGAAAAGCCCAACATGATGTTCTGTCGCCGTAGTCCCCCGTCGGCCGCGCCCCCCTCTCAACGGCTTCTTTGTCCTCCGGCGCGCCGGCGTCTTTCAGCCCAAGGGGGATCTAAAGTCCCCGCTTACCTATCAGAGAGAAAGAAAAAAACGGAATTCGTGGTGGTGTGCTGGAAATGGCCCGCCCCGAGCCTCTTGTGTGAGACACGAAAAAAAGGTGAGGCGGCCTAAAAACCTAGTTCATGGTCCCCGAACGTTAGTCCGGTGAGTTTTGCAGAGATAGGGCGACAGCATACAGAAGAGGTCTCTCTTTCTCTCTGTGTGTGTTCCATCGTTGGGGTCGTAAGGGTCTCGGAGCTACGAGTCAGCCCATTCAAACGCCACCGCCGATAGAGAGCGAGGGAAAAAAAGGGCGCCACTCTGGCCTAGATTGATAGACCACAACCAGGAACCCGTTGCTGCCACGAGGTTGCTTAGGAAGAAGAAGAAGACGAAGAAGCGACCTGAGCAAACACACACGCCCCCGGGAGTCTCTCCCCGCGAACCCGCTTCTCGCCGCCGTTCCGGTGGTCAGACGGACTAGAGCCAACCCAACCCAGACTGAATCAGGACGGGCCCTCGACACCATCCAGGACGCATCGCCGGCCAGTCACTTGACACAGCGCCGCCTCTCCGGGGAAACGCACCTCACGCATCCCCTCGACGACGCGGGACCGCGGAGCGAGCGGTCCACGGCATCCCAAATTCCCTAGATCTTGGCTGGACTCGTCTCCTTCTCTCGCCCGTACCAAATCGCCGCCGGGCAATATAGCGTAGGCGTCAGCATCAGGGCTCGAGCCATAAGCCAACAGGAACTTGACGAGCCAACCGAGCCACCGAGCCAAACGTCAAAAAATCCAATACCTCTTAGACCGGCGAACAGACACAGTGGTACCTCTCTCTCGATCCGCAGGTCCTCCCCTCCATGATCCATCCATCACCACCAACCCCCCTCGAGGATCCCCTGGCTTGTCAGTGTCGTCCCAAGAGCTTTCGGCATGTGACACGGACGCTTCATCGAGTCAAGCAGCGCAGCCGCAGCGTCGCCCGGCGTGGACCGCGCGGATCCCCCCCAGCGCTCCGCCTGCCCAGCTCATTTTTGCCTGCCGCGCCGTACAGTTCCTGATAGAGAGAAGGTCAAAGCATCTGCGAGACATTTCTTAGCGAGAAAAGCAACGACAATTGATTGATTGATAACGAAAAAATTCTCTTACCACGTAGACAAACTTTCTGCCGTCCGCCTGAAAGCTACAGAGGGCCAAACCGGAATGTGCGGGGTTCGTTGATTGCTCGAGTGGGCGGGGGACGCAGGAAGCGCAGCCGCTGTCTGACTAGGTATGGGAGCATCATTTTTTCCTTGGGCGGCAGAGGACCGACAAGAAGCAATGCCTGCTGCATCTAGGCCACTGCCGACAGCAATAGTGGATGCTCATAGCCTCGCAGTAGTTCCCATGCTACGTAACCGTACGGATGGATAGCGTTTGCTTTCCAAGTGTCAAAGGTGACTCTCGTACGTCTTGCTGCGATCCACGTCCCCTCCGAGCCACCTCGGACACATCGAAGGACACACCTTTCCTGAGTCTTCGGTAAAAGGGAAGACTTTCCCCAGGCACAAACGGGTGAAGATCGACAGAATTATTCGGCAGACGTGACGACCCCGAATTTCGATATTCAGCGGTGAGAACCAGTTCAAGCATAGGTCGTCACTGGTGGTGTCTTTCGTTTCTCTCTGTGTCCCAGTGCCCCTCTTCAATCCTCTACACAGTATTCCGCGAGCCGGGGGCTTTCTGGTAGTGTTGCAACGCAAGGTCCTCTTCCGCATGAAGATGGCGCCCCCGCCCGAGTTGGACAGAGCCCCATTCGGATCTTCAACTAGAGACCGAAGATCGTAATTTTGACCCAGAAAGATGCCATCACAGGCAAGCCGCTAGCAGCCCAATTACCCTGATCTTAAGTCGGGCACAGAAAGCCATCAACGTGGTCAGGTTCAGGGTCCATTGGAGGGCCAGAGGCGTATCTCAAGATAGAATTTCGGGGAATATGTCATGAGTGAGTGAGTGAACGCTTCATCATGGCCGGGTCTCGAGCGAGACTGGTGGATGATTTTCACGCAGCCGCGACCCCCGAGGGTATTAGACCCAGTGATGGAGAGTTCTAGTGCCGCACAGGTCTCGATACTTTGTCAAGAGTACCTAGCCCTGCTTCGCGACATCATGTCTCCCGGCGCCCTGATCATCACGAACTTGTGGCGACGACACACATCGTGTGGAGAGAGAGAGACTTGACTAGAGAGACTGCTGCGTCAAGCGTTGGGTTGCGTCGACGTAGGTCTTCGCGCGATGTCTCATTGACCACTTGTAGCCAACTTTTGATGTAGTAAAATCGGGACAAGAAATTGAAAGCGGCCTTGTGCGCCGTGTGCCTGAGCGAGCCCTTTGCCTGCATCAAGCTGCAAAATGCAACCCACCACTCCGCCCAAGCCCGCCCTAATCCCCGGAAAGAAGACACCGGTGTACCCGGAGGCCCGGAGAGACAGCCGGTTTGCTGGAAAGCAATGGGTTTCTTGGTGGCGGACGAAGGCTGGAACCCACCCACCCCTCCACCGCATCTCTGCTTCAGGAACACGCCGTTCGTTTTCTCGGGTGCAAGTTGCAGCATAGGCTGAGTGAGTGTTGCCATATGCATGCTCGCCTTACTTTGCACAGATAGGTATTCAACCACCTGCATTTGCGACCATGCGGACGTCTTTGTCCACGCAGTAAGGCTGCCCATCAGTCACCACACATCGATGTAATGCAGGTCCGAGAAGTTGAAACCCACGCACTCCTTCGCCATTCATCACTCGGCATGATGCAGGTGAAGTTTCCCTCCAACTTTGCCTCTCCCCAGGCTACCATCTAGACAGCGTGTTTCAGGGCTGCCAAAGACCTCGAAAGTTGGGCACTGCAGGCTCGCAAGACTTGAGACTCGAGAAAACCAATAAGTTTCCGAGTCCGAGGTAGACGGGATGCCAAGTTTTTCTCGTGTCTGTTGCCTCTAGTCGTTTTGGTGGTGGGGTTGTAGCTTGTTTTCTGTGGTCCATAAGCTGGCATGCCTCAGCTCTCATCGTATTCGAATTCCAATATGCCAAAGTCTGGTGAAAACCCTGACTTTTGACAATATTCGCGCATGCTGTGTCGGAAACGGCTGTTTGCCCCCGATCACCCATCCGGCAAACATTGATATCTTGGAAGCGCCTCGGCTTCTTACTGGCTCCCGACATTGAAGATTTCCAAGTTTCTGGTGCAGCATATGACATTGACCGCTCACCTGAGGCTACAAACTGCAGCTGTCTCTCGCCACGTGAAAGTCGTTGTATTGCGAGCTAGCTCCCGTCAAGCCACCACCCGCATCTCGCTCTCTCATTCAGGTGGACAAAGCATTCAGCATACGTTGCCGGCCGCCGTCTCACACCCGCGCATCGACTCGTGCCATGGTTTTTCTTTACCTGGCGGTATGATGCTCTCGGTCTACTGACCGTGGAGCTGTCACTAGTTTAGTTAGGTATCCCAATGTGCCTGCCGTTGGCCGAGGCCACTTCCACGTTTTCGTTGTGTTGATAGATGCATCGGCTTCCTGTCCGTTTCCAGCTTTGAGATGGCTGTGCAGTGTGCGGTACAGTACTTCGTGCGGACACTGAGAGACCGCACCGATGACAAAAGCTGAGGTTGGGTTCCGGGACGCTCAATCTCCCATTCCCCACGCTAATCACTTCTAGAAGGTTGAGTAACGTCGGTAGTTAGAGACAAGGAAATGAGTTTATCTCCCGTTCGTGGACCCCACGGAAGGTGGACGCCTTTCTGGTGCAGATATTGGAGCCTATCGCGCTTGGCTGTGAACCACTGACGAACCATCGGCGGGACAAGCGGGAGGCCTGTTAGGACCCTGGCCTGGTCGTCTTCCACGTTGCTATCTTGGAAATCGTGAATGGGTCGTGCCGATGGCGAGCTCCGGGCTTGTCAATTTCGTGGGCACCAAAATACTATTCATTCGAGCAACGTGACACCAGGGACTCCACCGCACCGAGCTGCAATCAATTAACAATGTCGTGTACTATTTGACCGGGCAAAGGCGGGTGGCTTCTGGAGAATCCTCTGCCGAGGTCGAAATGCTGTTTTGAAGACGGTTCGATCGACATAGTCATCAATGGGGATGGGCCGATTAGTGACAGACGTTTATGTATACTGAGATACCTCGTGGCTCTTGGTGATGAATGTTCGAAACGCCTCACAAGTTCCAACGACTGGCTGGCGTCGAGAAACCACGGCTAGACTACCGTATTCTGTCGGTGACCAATATAGATCGGCCGGATGATATGGCCGGTTGTCATCACCTCGGGCAGTCTGATACGTGGTGACGAAGCTATGCCTTCTAGAACAATGGAAGGATGCAACATGAGAAACGGCTCCATCGTGACCTGGGGCCTCTGCTTCATGCTGGTACCCCTTCCATCTGTCTTCCGTTTCCATTGTTTCCAATGGCACAAGGCGCTGCGTCATGATAACCATGGTGCCCTAAACAGGCAAGTCCCTCATACCCAAGGCTATGCGGGATGCTTCGTGATGGGGACTCAGGCGTCGGAGTATGTGGGCCCTGAAACCTTCTCGAAGGTCTTGGAGCCTGGAGGCCTATGGGCTAACGACCGCGGGAATGCCCATTGGTCACTCCGGAGGAACCCCTTGTATTG